CTCCCACAAGGCCAAGCCATTACAACTAGATTATCTGAATATTTCAGTAAGGTAATTTTAGCTACATCATTGTGCAGTTTTACAATCAAAATCTGTCAAAGCAAAACCAGTTTAAATAGAGGCATATTTTGATAAAAGGATTCAAATATGCTTATACCCATATAAGGCACACTTGACTTGGCTACCACTTGTTGGCTTCTATACAATACAGCATTAAAGCAGTGAGCATTCATGAAGATTACAATAGTACCTGACTTCCAGACAGGGCTGGCAGAAAGAGCTAGCCTTGCTCCATCAATTGATAGTCACCAACAACAAGCCCTCAAACCCTTCTTCAGATAACTTACATGACCAGAATTAAAGGATCCCTTGTGTACAGTAACCACGAAGCTTGCAATGGCAACCACTCCTTGCCACAAGACTGTTTTATAATAAATAAATAAATAAATAAAATAAATCAGAATCCTGCTTCCCTTCAAACATTGTGTGACTATTTCAGTCACAAACCAGACCTAAGGATATGAGCTAGCCTGAAGGACGTCAGCCAGTCGCCAAGACCTGTGCCGGGTGTTAACATGTGAGAACAAGCTTTGTAGACTTACTCAGTCCCCAGGGGCATTTGGCAAGCTCAAGGTACTATCACACAATTAACAGTTTCTGTTGGAGAGGCCCAGAAATTAAGCAACAAAGACGCTGCAGGTCAAGTTTCACAGACTACCATCCACTTACCAAGCATATGCCTTCCCAGTTCCAAAAGTCCTTCTCACTGACAGCCTCAGATTATATTTATTTCCAAGTATTAAAATGACAGCAGAAATGGTAAACAACTGCAATTTGCGGGTACACATTTTGAAAACATCTGTAACAGAAAACTACCCCTTTAAGACTAGAAAAAACTTAACACCCAAATACCATGCTTTATCCTGAGAATAAAAGGTTAAACTGTGTGTGCATGTCTCTTCCTAACCTGATTTCACGTACAGTATTTTAATACCACATCAATACTGCTAGTGTAACAAAAGCAATTAAGTTAAACTTTTCAGCTCTGACCACTACTTTTAGTTTTTATAAGAAAGGTGTTCTGCCAAAAAAAAGGATTCCATTATCAATTTATTTTTTCAAAAACCCAGCCAGACTGTTAGTGTGGGCCAATACTGGCTAGTATTTATTACAGAAAGTATTTGCTGGAGTATCACTGGAATACTTGCAGTAGCCAAAAATGTCAGACACTAAATACTTTTCATTTTTTTCAGGAAACCCTTCTTAGCTGACACCTTCTTTCACTCAGCTGTATGCATTAACTAACTGCAGTACCTCAAAAGATGCCAACCCCGCCCCCCAAACCATAACCCCAGACAAAGCTTCCTTGTCACACACACCAATTCTTCTTAAATGGGAAATAAATAATTGGGATCAAAATTATGTGAGAGCAAGCTTTCCGTCCAGGCAGATGCAAACATCTCATTGGGAAGCAGAGCAACCTGCACACCGAACTCTCCATCTAAACCGTCACACTTTCCACTAAAACTTAACCAGTCTCAGAAGAAACCTTGGAGCGATGCGTTTAAGAGATGGACAACACAACAAATAAACAGTGAAATCAAGTGATAATTGAGCCGGCAAACTACATAGCAATACATTTCTATCTCAGGACTAATTCTGTAGCCTGTTTGATAGAAGCTATCAAGAGCAGCATTTCCCATCTGGCAATCAGTGGGGTAATGGAACAGATTTGAACTAGAAAAAAGTATCTTCGGCCTTTTTACAGTAGGTAATCTCTGATAAGGGTTCCAGCTCAGTTCTGAAATAAGACTGACCTACAAATTCCCAGGAAACAGCAGAAAAACCAAATCCATATATTTAATATTTAAAGCCAATCAGAAATTCAGACCAAAAAAGAAAAGCATTGTAACATTCACACGCTGGTCAAACAGCCACCTGAAAGTCTGTAGACCCACTTTTTTCTTTCCTCAGCTTTTATGTAACATTTACTAAATGCAAATCATATGTTATGCATCCAAATGGTCCAGTCTCACCAGAACCACATAGCAAGAAGTACAAAAAATTTCCAAGAAAAGAAACAAGCATAGTCCTATGTTCTTCTAAGACCCTGAACTGCTAGCTGAGGGGACTACCACCATGAACAACTCTAGAAGACCAAGCCACACAAGCAAACACCAGTGGAATGGTCATCAGTGCTACACAGACACATAATACGGTTTTATCTTTGACTACTTCGACTCCTATGTATATTGTTCTTGGATCAGGAAGGAACAAGCAAGGCATCTTCTGGCATAGGTCACCTGGAAGAAGCAAAAAATGACCCAATTCCACATCCCCTAGGCTTAAGAGAGTAAAAGTGAAGCTGCTCAAATGGTGGAAGTGCAGTGCCTAGCACTCTTCAGAAACAGGTCTTTAAACGTCAAGGTTTATTTCTGCCAGAGGAAGGGTTTCATGACCTCTCAAGCTTTTCTCTCTTACCCAAAACATGCATCTCATTGCATATACCAGCAAATTTTAGCTACGTGCCATGGAATAAACTGTAGCAGAAAAACTGGGAAGGCTCTGAAAAAGATAAAAATGAGGAGCCTTTTGCACAAGAGAACAGTCAAAAGTTGTTTCAAGGCACAGCTTTCAAATAAAATGTGGTCTTCATGAATGCACAAATTATACAAGTAACATTTGTATCTAAATAAGACTTGCTCTTCAAAATTATCATGCCTTAATGAAAAGCAGTGTACAAGTATATTTAGATACATAAAAATACACACAAATATATGATATGTTATCATAAAAAACAGGTACGGGCTTTAAAAAAAGCACATTGATGTTTTTCCTACAAACTCTCTACTGCAGATTGATTTTTTTAAAAAAGGGGGTTTCTAACTTTAGTTCTCTTTCAGAAGACAGAAGGAAAAAAAAACCCAAAACATTTTACAGTAACTAATAAAAAAATAAAGTACTGGACTTTCACAGCATCACCTTCATGCTTTTACAGAAGATCTTGCCAGGCTGATTAGGGAACTCTGCATCTTTCCATTACATTAGAAGGCTGCAGCATCTTACAGTCTTAAGGTAAGAAAGCTTAAGTCTACAGATCAATGAGCTACAATTCAGCTTAGCTGCCAATCATAGTCTCAAAATTGTCCTTACCTCCCAAAAAGGTCGTGGCAGATCTCTCAGTTTTCACTAAAAGATTCACTAATTTTCTTCAGCAAGTAAGAAATCACAGTGTTGATATAACAAAGCAACACAGCAGCATTGTTCTAGGGTTTCTTTTTTACCCCCAACTATTATTTTTCTAGTACATGAAGAATACAAACAATTGTCAATCAAGAGATTAGGATCTTGTAAAAGTGGAAGGATCCATAACAGCGCACCAGAATTGTAGCAAGAGCTGGAGTTCCCTCCCCATCCAAAGCTCTTCTAAGTTGAACACTTTTATTTGGGATTTTGAGTTGTCTTTAGAAAGTAGTAATGTACTCTGACAGTGTTTATTTTTCTCTGCATCTAAATGCAAACGCTTTTTCCAACTTTCACTGTGACAACCTGGGACAGAACAAAGTAAGTTTTTAATCATCTCCCTGATTAATTTATAGGTGAAAATAATGTAATCAAAGGGAACATAGGTTATCCCTGCCCCAGCATAGCAAACATAACATTTCAATTAACAAAGTAGATATACAAAGTAGAAAGGAACTTGCTCTCAAGTTTCTTTTCTTTTCCTCCCTTCACACTTCCTCTCAGATTATGGCAACATCCTCCCAAGTATGACCTTCTCTAATTTACAGCATATTCAGCATAAGAAATCTCCCATTGAATCTCCCTGCAGTCCACCTGTTTTCACACACACACACGCCTTTGTTAAGGCAGAGGTCAGCTACAACATCCGTACACAAAGTGCAGAAGAGCACTGTACATCCAGTAAAAAGGCTGCTGAAAACTTGAGGAAGCCATTGTCAGCAGAGGCCTTCTGCTATGGGCTGGATTCTGCTCAAATAAAAAGAGGGAAGCAACCAACAATCTCTACAGGTATCAATTTATTTCCATTTTACATAGATTAAAATGCAAGTGTCTAATCCCAGATCACTATTCCTTCCTCTCCAAGTAAGCAAGTTCTGAATATTAATGACAGAGCGGCCCATTAAAAGCAGCACACACAAACACCAAGTGATGGCAGAACACGAGCACATAACGTATTACCAGATGTTGAAGAACTGCCTGCAAACACTTTCAAGTCATTCAGGCAAGGCAGAAAAGGAATTGCATCTAAGATCATAAACTAAGTCTTAAGAGTGGTCAAGAAGTTTGAGCTAACTATTGCTTTATCCAATCACTTACTTAATCCAACAGCTGTAGAGCAATACAAATTTCAGCATCGGATACACTGGACTAAGACAGTTTGCATTCACTTTAGGCATTTCACAGATTTAACAGACCCACATATAAAAATGATTCCAGTGGTTAAACAAACACACGGTCAGGACCTACACAAAAGAGGAGCCAACCCCAGGATATCCTGGCCGATCGGCAAGCGCCGGCAGGCACACACGTAAGAGCTGCTGTACCAAGTGTGGCCACAGTGCGAGAGCACACGGGTGCCAGCTGCACACTACTGCAGCTCACAAGTCACAGGAACTCCTCTTGCACAAGCAACAGTACGTGCTTCCTACTGCTCTGGCAGACATGCAGCGACAGGTTAAACTTGGACTACAAAGTTACTAATCCGATACTTTTCCCCTACCTCTGCACCAAAGGTTCCACACTGGAGGTGAGGACAGCCGATCTGTGAATCATTTCCTAAACCACAACACGTCAGCCAACATATTAAAGTGAAATAAAGCCACTTTTGCCCACCTGAACATACTGATCTGAAAACTGCAACATCTGAGGAGCAGACTGAATGCTTCTACCCCAGGACCACGGCACTAACAGCTTTTTAGCCCTTCTATTCCAAAGTGCAGCTTGACAACGTAGCTAGGGAAAGTGCAATGACTAACCGCTCCTTGGTTTCCTCCACCCCTTGCGCGCTCTCCCGCACCAAGGGTCTACACCTGCCTGTCTGCAGGGCGGACCACACCAGGGAACCAATATGCAAAAAACCCCACCCCAATCCTACCAAGAAAACAAGTGTCATTCCCACAGGGGTCACAGGACTGTTACCACCAAACACAAGCCTGGAGGTGGCAGGAAAGGAACCGTACCTTTTGGGGGTAGCCAACCAATAGATGGGCTTAAGTATATTGTCAAAGTGAATCTCAGCCTGGCACTGCATCTTTGCCACCTCTGGCCAAGGGCCCGTTAACCAGAGGAGTGGAGGGAATGTCACTTTATTCCTGCCTTGAAACTTGGCTTAGAGTAAGGAATAAAAACATTGGGAATCGTAGAGCGATCCGAAGCGAGAGGCTTAAGATTTCAGCTATAGCGAGAAATAGATATTAAAAATAAAATACTGGTGTTTTCAGAGCATCCAGCTGCATACTAACTGACCATGCTGGTGCCAGCTCGGATTGAACGGAAAACCACCGCATGGCCATTTCCAAACGCCTCTGAAAGGGCCTCTACCACCGCTTCCACCCAGGCGCCGGTGGCAGTGGACGCTGGGCGGCCAGAGCCGCCTCCCCCAGGGCGCTTCACCCGCCGCCGCCTGAGCCCGCAGCCCTGCCCACCACGGGGGTCCCGGGGAGAAGGGCCCAGGCCCTCACCGCCCCCCCGCTCCATCCCGGCTCCCCTCCGAGGCCCGGCGGCGGGAGAGGAGCCCCGGGCCCGCGGGCCCCGCCGGGGGACGA